TTAAAGAAATTGCTCAACTCTAGGATCATCAGCAGTGGATTTGACACAGAAAATACTGTATTACTTGTTTTGATGAGACGAGGTCATTTTTTTTTTCCAAAGCCACAAACCCTTTCGAGATTCACGTTGAATATACAACTGTCTTTTTCCAGTCTTTTTCACTTTCTTGCTTGTCTAATAAAGGAAGTGGAATAAAATGACCTTAAGGGCACAGCATGTGTGGGGACCACACCTCGGTGGCCAGTGGCCGATCACCTCACTGTCCTTTACAGGGCGTGGAGCCAGGTTTGTGTGTCTGAAATTAGACAGTGTGACAAACTTCACCAGCCCCTCCTTCAGCCAAGGAAGGTTTTCTACATGGGAAGAAAGATAAAAAGGAAAAAACAAAGTGCTCCGGGCTTTAAGACACTGGTGTGGTCCTAAGACATTAATACATGATAAAAAGGAGCTGAGTATCAAAAGGACTCTTCACCACCACCAGGGTTCTTTGCTGATGCCAACAAAAGCTTAAAAAGCCTTTCTGCTGAAAATCCAGCAAAGATCAAACCACCTCCAGTGCCTTTGGACATAGCAACAAGACACACTTTGAGTCTCTTTGCACAGCATAATAGTCCAGGCCTGTTACACCCTATTTCAAGGACGTCCCCAATAACATGGGCACAAGAGCTGTTGTTTGCTAAAGGAGAAAGAATCTGAACCACAGGCAGCCTGTATTACACAGGGTTAATTTACCAATTTAGAGAAATTTACTGGATATTTACAAGGTCGGGTTTTTTGTTTTTGTTTTTTCTTTTTAAGCTCCTATCCAGTCTTATTGGATGTGGTCAAGTTTATTTTTTTAAGTGCTGTGGATGCGATAAGGATAAAGGGATTTAGTCTTAGACCGGGGTGGGCAATTAGAAGTGGTGGCGTTTAACTGTTACCGTCCAGCTGACAGCATGGCCTGTGACCCCAGGGACCATGGCTCCCTCTGGACATTAATGGGGACTGACCTCATCTCTCATCAGGGAGACCCAGTGCCAGATTAAAATGGGGCTGGTGCGAGGATGCAGTGCCAGTTAAAGAAAGATCTAGTCACAGTTGGATCTGTGTGCCCTCGATGTGTGTCTGACATCGAGATGCGCTGGCTCTGCAGGAGCTCTGAGGCAGAGCAGCTTGCAGGTGGGCAAGCGTGGCCCCGTGGCTCGCTGAGGTCTGCTCAGATCTTGACCACATGTGTAAGCGGCACCCACCCCACCCTATCATCCCCCTCAACGTGTGACAGTCGCCACCTGACCTTGTGCTGTTTTGTTGTTGTTTTTTTTACCTGCCTCACTGAAATGTAAGCTCCCCGAGCACAGGATTCCTTTCTAAAAAAAAGCTTTTTATTTTTTGTTGAAATACAATTCACATACCATAAAATCCCGACTTTGAAAGTGTGCAGTTTAGTGGTTTTTAGTGTATTCGCAAGGTGGTT